GGACTTGGCATCAGAAGATGCCCAAAGAGAGGCAACCCTAGCGTGGAAGCCTGCTGCATACACAGGGAGTGCAGCCTCAGGATTTTTCTGTGATTAGGGCAACGACCAGTTATAGTTAGATACTGAGGACACTGGAGAGGTATGACAGATATTTCCTGCTGCCCAGCTGGGAACAGAAACCAAGAAGACGTGTGGGTTTGGACAGGAGAATGGGAAGCTCAACGGTCAGACCAGACCTGGTTTCTTGGAACCGAAGCTCGAGAGGTACCAACTCACCGAGGGGAAAATAGCAGGTAAGGAAGTCCTCATCCGTTTAAGTTAATGATCAAGGACAAAGTCACGGTGCTTAAGCGAGAGACCTCGCTACCACCACTTGAGGCTCGACCTTTAACTGCAGTGAACGCACCGCACCACCCACCCGCCCAGCCCCGCCGGCCCAGGTATGCACACCCCTGCAGCTTCATCCTTGCTCACCACCACAAATGTTACGTTTCAGCGAGCTCATTCAGCCAGTCCCCACCTTATTGATGAATTTACATTGCTGCTCTCCCAAACTGACGGTTTAATCCACAATTACGTTCTCGGCCATAGTCGTAGGTGCTGTAGATGTGCCCTTCCTGGTCCCCTTTCTCAGGCTGCGGCACTCATCCCCCAGCCACTGTGAGTGCTGGCAGCTGATGGTTCACAAAGAACAGAGAGGCCCTTCTCTGGAGAACTGCCTTTGGCGGAACGAGAGCCCTGCCTGGGTGCTCACACGCGCACCACGCCACCCAGCCCAGCAGCCAATGACAGATGGACATGGAGGAACTCAGAGCTGGTCTCCTTGTTCCCGGGGGAGTGACCCTGTGGCACAGCTCGTGAGAGCAGGCAACGGGAGAGGGCTGCTGGGGTCACATCCTATCTTCCCCTCCCTCTCCTACTTCCCTGCCCCTCGATCCTTCCTACTTTCCTCCCTTGATCAATCCCACGCATCTCATCAGGCTCTACTTGTAGAGAATCTGGCCCAAGGCGTCCAGCCAACCTTCAACTGTCTATACGATGCCAACTTTGAACGGAATAGTCTTCCTCATAGCCTTGACCTCCTAGGCCTCCAGAATCTGAGATCCCAAACTCATCAGAGCCCCAGGTTGTTCTAAATCCGACCTCTCCTCTCCAGAACCCAAGACACTTGCTGGCGAAGACTAACATCTCACTCAAGGACAGACAGTCTAAGTCCGAGAATGCCCTTGGTTACTTGTTGTAACAGGGGCTAAGGTCAATAATGCAAGGAAGCGAGCAGGGAGCCAGAGTCATGCACAAAGCCCCTCCGGTCCTATGAGTGAGGCGGCCTAAGTGCTCTCTGGGATCAGCATGAAGTTGAAAGGGAAAGAACATTCTGTGAGTCCATTCATGTCGCGGGTCCTGTTCTAAGTGATGCAGCCGCAAGGGGGTGTCCATGTTTCTACATTAGCAAATGCAGGCTCAGGGAAGTCAAGTTCAGTGTCCTCTTCTCGTCCTAGCTTCTCTGGCATCATTTACATAAACTGAAGCTTCTCCCACCTTAAAATGATAAGGCGAGCACGTGAACTAAATAGACCCTCACCGTCTCTCTGGCCCCGACCGTCTTCCACCTCTGCCCTGAGCCTCTGCCCAGTCCTCCTCTGGGGCAGCAGAGATCGGAGACTGAATTGTCTGCACCCCCCACCATCTTCCTTAGCCCGCCTCACCCCTGTACTTGCTGTGGCATGGCCCAGGGGCTTCCCGCTCCCTACATTCACACTGAGAATGCAAGGGCACCAGAACCTTCTTGTGCTGGGAAGCCGAGGCACACATCGTAGCTTTCATCTGCTTCTCTTTGCAGCCTTTCACATCACTGCAAACATACACGTCCCTTAAAATTTCACCTGGTTTCTCCGTTTCCCCTTCTACTGCTTCGCACTCCCTTGAGGCACCTGCTTTGTAGTTCCCTTTAGTGCTGGGACAGTTTTGCCCGAGTCTGCACACACAGCACCTGGGCCCTGCCAAACAAAGGGGTGTGGAGTGGCCAATGGGCCCACACCAGGCAGAGCTGCGATCCAGACCCGCCAGGGGCCAACCCCAAACCCCTGTGCGGCCCCCTGTCCCAGGATGATGTTTCTCTGATTTGAAGCACTTCTCTCGCCAAAAAATGGATGTTCACTATAAAAATAAATGTGCAAAAGGGAGGGAGATCTCGGGTGAGGATATTCTCGTAATACCCATGCTCTTGCGCGCGCGCGTGCACACACACACACACACACACACCCCTTATAAACGACACGGCTAGTTTAAATGTCTACAGGCCAGTGAAAACTGTAAGAGTCTGTACACTCAGCCAAGTACAAAAACCAGAATTCCTGGCCCCCAGCTGAAGCTCTAACAAGTCGGCCTTGCTGTGAGAACATAAACACCACTGCAGACGCACAAAACCTGCATTTAGTTCTTGTGTCCCGGGAGCCCCGGGACACAGCCCGGCCCCGGGGGGAGGGGGGGTGCTGGTGGGCGCGGCCCCTGAGCCGGTCGGGCTCGAGTGCCTCACCAGAAATGAGGCGGGCTCTGCTCTCAGGAACAGTCTCGGGTGGGGGTGGGTCTGCTTTGAGGTTGCCACACGCACACACCAGAAGTGAGGGCCTTATGCCTCATTTTGTCCAGCAGGTGAATGATCCGAATTGGCCAGGGGCTCCTGCCTGCCAGGAAACAACGGCGAAGTTACGACGGTGAGGAAAGTGCTAGAACATGGCTCAAACTGTGCTTCTAGTGCTCGTCCAGGTCTGTACCTTTTTGTTACTAGTCTGCAACGAGGCATGTAGATAGATCAAGAATACGTTTTTCAAAGCTTTCATAACAACAGAGGAATTTTATGTCTGTTTATCAAAAAAAAAAAAAACCCCAGCGTATTTGGAATACCTTTAGTTTAGCCTTATATTAATTGGCTTTCACTATACTTTGTGCTAAAGCATCAGTCTGCCAGCCCTAGAGCACAATTTTTAATGGTCCACAGAGAGTCTGAGAAGTAGTGAAATAAGTAATTTTAAACAACCTCATTCATTAAAAGATACTCCAAGAGAAAAAAGATAAGCCACAGAATGAGAGAAAATGTTTGCGACACACTTTAAGTTTCATGTGGGGCGCCTGGGTGGCTCCCTCAGTTGAGCTTCTGACTTCAGCTCAGGTCATGATCTCGCGGTTTGTGGGTTCGAGCCCCGCGACTGGCTCTGTGCTGACAGCTGAGCCTGGAGCCTGATTCGGATTCTGTGTCTCCCTCTCTCTCTGACCCTCCCACACTCACACACTCTCTAAGAATAAATAAACATAAAAAAAAAAAACTTACAAGAAAGTTTTATGTAAGAAAGACATCCTACGTTATGTAAATAATTTGAATCAATTAGAAAAACGGACAAGAAGACTTGGACAGGCATTTTACAGAGGAAATGCTAATGCCTGTTTAACACATGGTAATTCTCAACCAGAGGCATGAACGTTACAAGTATGTCACCAACAAAGCTGGCGCTAGATGGCAAACGTTAAAATGTCACAGTCCTGAAGGTCGGTGAGGCTGCTGGACAATGGGGACCCTTAGACAAGGCTAGGCCAGAGAGTAAGCTGGTCAGAACGTTCTAGAATGGGGCGCCTGGGTGGCTCAGTCGGTTGAGCATCCGACTTCGGCTCAGGTCATGATCTCACGGTTCGTGGGTTCGAGCCCCGCGTCGGGCTCTGTGCTGCCAGCTCAGAGCCTGGAGCCTGTTTCGGATTCTGTGTTTTCCTCTCTCTCTGACCCTCCCCTGCTCACGCTGTCTCTCTCTCTCTCAGAAATACATAAAAAACATTTTTAAATAAAGAATGTTCTAGAAAACTCTGTGGCAGCATCCACTGACACCGAGCGCACACCGACCCCCACGGACAGCAACTCCACGCTGTGGGGCAGCCTGCAAACAGCCAGCAAAGGGAAACGAGCCCAAAGCCCCCAGCACACCGGACCGACGGCGCGGCGGCGTCCACCCGTCGCTAATGGCGGCGGAGGCGACAAACCACAGCTCAGGCCACGACGCGGATGGCTCCCGCGGACGACACAGCACCCTAGTCTCCTCGAGGTGCCCCCGTGGGATCTGCAGGACGTTCTGGGGACACGCTGTCCCCTAAGCTCATTAACACTGTGGTTCTGGAGTCCTTCCCCTCCGTGGAGCCAGCCTCCGCTTGGCACCCATCCGGGTACCCATCACGGGTTGGGGGAGGGGCTGGTGGTCAGGAAGCGGCCCCTGGAGGAGCCTTGGGGTGAGAGGAGCCTTGTGAGGTCAGGGAACAACTCGGAGTCTGGCAAGAAGCCGGAAGCCCAGGTCAGGCGGAGGCAGGCCAGGCCAGCCTGTGGGTGGGGACAGCGATTTCTGCCGCAGGGAGAACCCCCAGGGGCTGGGCAGGCGGTGGGGGCAGATGCAGAAGTGTGCGACCCCCCCCCCCCAGGACGGGGATGATGGAGTGGGGACCCCTGGGGAGTCAGATCAGGCTTCTGGTGTTTGACGCCCCCCAGGAGTCTTTAGTCTCCACGAAATACGCAGGCTCCGGGCCGGCCGTGGGCGGGGCCAGGCCACAGGCCGTCTGGGGATATTCTCCCTGCGTCACCCCCACCACCCCGACGGCCCGGGACGGCTCCGCGCCGAAGGAGGAGGCCTTGCCTGCGACGCTGTGGGCCCACCCCGCTTATAAGCCCCGTGCCCCCCAAAGTCAAAAGCTCCTGTCACAACCCTTAGCAAAGCCCTCAAGGTCCCCTCAAGGGTTAGGCCCAGTCCCGCGGTCCCTCACACGTCCCACCTTCCCGACAGCCCTTCCGGCCGCGGTTACCCATCAGGCGGCGCTTTTACCACAAGCCGCGCGTCTCGGTCCGATCTCCAGGGGGGTAAGTCAGAGTTGCCCAAGGTCAGGGGAGGTGCTGGCTGGTCCAGAAGTCGGACGCCTCTTTCAAAGGAACCGTGTGGGGAAGAGCAGAGACGGGGGGCCCGGAGGCTTACCTCTCCCGCACGCCTGCACCAGGCCGTACCACTCCCCGCAGCTGTTGCACAGCAGGGTGAAGGCCGTCTCGCGGTGGCCCGTGACGTGGCCCGGGGCGCACACGTACAGCAGCTCGTCCCCCATCTCCAGGCCCGTGCGGCCCTGCAGGACGGTGTGTGGGAACGAAGGCGGGTCTCCGCACGGCTTCTCTGAGGAAAAGGAGTCAACAGTGAGCCTTCCCAAGCCCTGCGGGACTTCCGCAGCGGGGCGGGGGGGGGGGGGGGGGGGGGGAGCGCAGTGAAAACCCCCAGCCCCCCAGCAACGCTCCCCTCCCCGGGGGCTGCCTACACCCTCAACTGGGATCATGGGGCTATTCTCCCCTTCACCCCGGCACCCCCTAGGGCCTGGCCAAAATGAGGCACTGAAAACAAAACACTTGTTGGAGGCGCCTGAGTGGCTCCGTGGGTTAAGCGTCTGACTCTTGGCTTCAGCTCAGGTCATGATCTCACAGTTCACCGGGTCGAGCCCCACGGTGGGGTCTGTGTCTACAGTGTGGAGACTGCTTGGGATCCTGTCTCCCTCCCCAGTGCCCCCACTCACGTGTTCACACGTGCATTCACTCTCTCTCTCACATGCGCGTGAGACACAGAATCCGGAGCAGGCTCCAGGCTCCGAGCTGTCAGCACAGAGCCCGATGTGGGGCTCGAACTCACAGACTGCGAGACAATGACCTGAGCGGAAGTCTGACGTTTAACCGACCGAGCCACCCAGGCGCCCCAGACACCTGCTTTTAGGCTTTTAGAGAAGTTTTGGGTTTACAGCAAAATGGCGTGGAAAGTACAGAGGGTTCCTGTGTGTCCCCCGGGCCCGTACAGGCAGTCTCCCCTTTTATCCACATCCCACACCACAGGGGCACATTTGTTACCAACCCTGAACCTACCCTGACTCCTCATCTTCACCAGAAGTCCATGGTTTGCATTTGGGTTCCCTCTGTGGGGGTCCAAGCGTGGCCCTCAGGCTGGGCCCCAGAGTCACTTTTGGGGAGGGAGCACCCGGGTGTCCTTTTAAACCCCTGTTGTGAGTGTCCTGTGAGAATGTTTTTACTGGTACATACTTTTTACTGGAAATGAGCCTTTTAGCAACAAGTGTAGACTGGTTTGTATTAAAACCTGCAAATTGCCTGTGAAAAACCCGACTTCGACCACCGAGGGAGCCCTGAAGGTGAGTGGAGGAGGATCCACGCTTTCCTGCTTCTACATCAGTGGGAGCCCTGGGGTCCAGCTCACGTGAGACCCTGGGATTCAGAGGTCTGTGGGGCCAGTCCCAACACGGAGTCCGGTAGTGAGGAGCGACACTGTTAGCCGAGGGAAGAGGTTAATGGTTACAGAGCTGGGGCCTGGGCCACGGGTCAGACCCCACCCTCGAGGCGGCCTGGGCCACACCTGCTGTGGTCTGAAGCCCCTCCCTACCGGGTCCTCTCACGTAGTGACTGACACAATAAATTCCCTGCGAAGTGTAAAAAATATCTTAGTCTTCTCACTAAGCTTTCCAGCTTCAAATTTCCCACCATTAAGTGTGGTGTTATCTGTAGGTTTTTCGTAGATGCTCTTTATACAGTTGAAGTTCTCCTCTGTTCCCAGCTTACTAAATTTTATCTCGAATGGGTGTTGGTTTTGTCCCATGTTTTTCAGTATCTGTCAATATGATCATGTGCATTTTCCATTGTAGGCCGTCGATGTCGCAGGTTATAGTCATTGAGTTGCATGTTGTACCAGCCTTGCACACCTGAGATAAATCTTGCTTGGTTCTGGCATATGATTCTTTTTTATGTATTGTTAGATTCATATTGCCTATGTTTTGCTGAGGAGTTCTGCACTATGTTCATTAGCTGTTGGTCTGTGGTTTTACCTTTCTGTAATGACCTTGTCTCATGTTGGTATTAGGGTAATGCTGGTCTCATAGAATGTGTTAGGAAGCATTCGCTCTGCTCCTAACTTCTGGAAGAGGTTGTCTTAGTGATTGGTATAGTTTCTTCCTTAAATGTTTGGTAGAATCTTTGGTGAACTCGTCTGGGTCTGGTGCTCTCTGTTTGGCGAGGTTATTAATTATTGGTTCAATTTTTTAAAAATTTTATTTCTGAGAGAGAGAGACACACACAGAATGAGCAGGGGAGGGTCAGACAACAAGGGAGACACAGAATCCAAAGCAGGCTCCAGGCTCTGAGCTGTCAGCACAGAGCCCGATGCGGGGCTTGAACCCACAAACCGTGAGATCATGACCTGGGCCGAAGTCAGACGCTCAACCGACTGAGCCACCCAGGTACCCCTAATTGTCAGTTCATTTCTTTCCTTACATGCAGAGCTGGAAACTAGAAGCCTATTTTTATCCCTAATGTTTTAGAGCTACTGCCACATTAGCACTATACATTACCTCAATCTTTTGAAAAGCCACCACCATAGCACATTCTTTAATCATTATAGACATTTGATTGATTCCAACTTTCCATTGTTTTTAATTTTTTTTTCAAGTTTATTTATTTATTTTGAGAGAGAGCACAAGCAGGTGAGGGGCAGAGAGAGAGAATCCCAAGCAGGCTCCACACTGTCAGCACAGAGCCCAACATGGGACTCAAACCCATGAACCCTGAGATCATGATCTGTGCGGAAACCAAGAGTTGGGCGCTTAACCTACTGAGCCACCCAGGCGTCCCTCAGGTGTTCACTGTTAAAACAATGCTACAAAATGAACAGCTCATCTGTACATTTCGGCACATATTTTATGAGGAAAAACTTCTAGAAGTGAAGTTGCCGTGTCAAAGTGATGCGATGCTTATTTTTCTTTTTCAAAGAAAGGAAATAATTTTTAATTTGAATTTCCTCTTCTAGTTTTATGTTGGAAAGGAAAGCCTTTCAGTTGAATTACCTAAGAAGCATATTGCTCAGAAGATGAAAACAGAAAATAGAACGTGTGCTTTAAGCCACCCTGATTAGCCTGTCAGCTTGTAATTTTGGTAGCACTTTCTCCAAGAGAGTCATTGCCATGCATGCCCTTTACCACAGGAGACTGAATAGAAAAATGGTGCCGTTGTACTTCAGGATGCTGGCACAGAATACTGCATTTTAACCCAAATTGCCTTGACTGTGAAGCCCAGGAGATCAAGTGTTTGCTTCGTCGATGAGGCAGGTAGGAACCGGCAGCCATCTGAAAATTACCACCAATCCAGGGGTCCCCCTAATGGAGCAGAGAGGCATCATCCTTGGGGTCACTCAGTCTGAGCAGGGCATCCTGGGAAGAATGGACCACACCTCAGTCAAGCAAGGCTGGCCCGAATTCCAGCTAACCCCTCCGGGGCTACAGCCTCCCTCGCTCTCTCCCCCATCCTCGGCTGGCTAGGACTCGTGCTGGACACCCCAATTTTCTCTCCTCTTACTGGGATCTGGTTCTGGAAACCAGAGGCTCTAGGTCAAGCACTGTCAAAGGCTGGTAAGTACCCTCAGTGTCACATTGTTCTGTGGGACACAACACCAACTCCTTGGAAGGAAAGTCCAGGAGCAGGAAAATCCAACTGCTCCGAGAGCCGATGAAGGGGCACTTCGGGCCACATTCCCACCCCACAGGGTTCATGGGATCTTCTCCCTCAGAGTTAATGTGCAGAATGGCACAGGCTAGAGCGTGGCTCAGGAAAACCACAAACGCTCCTGAGAGTCTGTGTCCGCCCGCCGTAGATTTCATGATTGCCCACAAACGCTCGAGGCAGGAAACTCACGGCCCCTTAGGTGCTGGGATTTCAAAAGCTCAAGGACAATAGTCCCACGTGTTGACACAGCCAGGTCCACGCCAAAAACATTGCCCACACCCAGGCGCAACTTGAATTAGTTCTTTTCATTAGCCTTCCCATCTTGAACCTCACAAGGAAGCTCTGGAAAACAGCTGGCTGTATACCTGCATCCTACTCTTGTTAGGGAAGCTTACATTTGGGCAGCCGTCGCTGCTGCTTCTCAGTTATTCCGCAGGTAGGGACGGTGGTGTGTGGGTTTCTCAAACCCTAAAGATGGATTTCAGCAATTTCAGCATAAAGAACAATTTCTATTATTTTCTCTTCCAAGCAGAGTTTCATAGAAAGATCTTGTCTATAAAATAGTATCAATAAACAACTCATTTGCCAATCACAGCTTGTGAAAACCAGTTGCCACAAGGTTTAGAACTAATATAAAACTTGATGCTTTCCTTTTGAGAAACTGTAAGTTTACAGATCCTCATTATTACTTTGCAAAATTAAAACGTAGGAATTCTGACACATGTGCTTGGCCTTTCCCCTTCCTTCTGGTGTTTCTAAGCTACGTGAAGAAGGTGTTTTCTGTGCCCACCTATCCAGTTCCCCCCCACCCTACTCACCCCACCCACCACCAGCGCTGCCCTCCCCATTCTGTCCAATTTTGTCCTTAGTCCCCAGGCTCTCCACATCAGCGCTCTTCAAACTTGAACATGATCAGAATCACCTGAAGGCTTGTAGTGCACACGTGTGCACAAACTCTCTCTCTCTCTCTCACATACACACACTGTTGTGTTTTTGAGTTTCTAACTCAGTAGTAGGTCATGGTTAGGACCCAAAAATTTGCATTTATATCAGGTCCCCAAGTAATGTTAATACTATTTGGTCCAGGGACCATTCTTGGAGAACTATTGTTCTAGATAAAAACCTACCCCCCAAAACAGACTAAACTCATATGTGGTGATGGGAATCAGAACAGAGATGGCATTGGCTCTGCTGGAATGATGGGCAGAGGATTTTTGGAAAGGGTCCAGGGAACTTTCTGGGGTCAAGCAAGTATTCTGTATGTCACCTGGGTGTTGATTACACAGGTGTATATATTTGTCAAAACTCATCAAGCTTAAGATATGTGCATTTTGCTGATATAAATTACACTCCCATGAAGTAAGTTAATTTAAAAAATACCTCCCCTCCAGAAAGGCTGTAATTTATTCAGCATGAAGTATAAATGGGTGAAAATTACTCACAACGCCTCCCAAGGGAAACTGCATTTGACAAGGATCCGTGCCTTTTAAGGGATTGGTTTCCAACTTGCAGATTTTCTACCCTGGAAGTATTTCAGTATTTGCAAGGCGTGGGCACGCCCATACGTGGTTAAATTCTGCGTCAGTCAATAAATTTAAATCAATCACTGTTGCAGGAATCTCTACAATACCA